AGAGGGAGAGGTGGCTGTCTCTCATGTCAGAGATGTCAGATACCACTCTGCCCGACCATCGCCTATGCAGCAGGCGCGAGACCCGACGGCCGTAACGACACTTCAAGACGATATTGATGCCCTGGTGGAATGGTCTGACCGATGGCAGCTCCCATTTAACGAGGGGAAGTGCAAGATCCTGCATCTGGGACGGAACAATCCTCGAATCAAGTACACCATGAGAGGGGTCGAACTAGAGGCGGTGGAAACAGAACGCGATCTTGGTGTCCACATTGACTCTTCGCTTAAATTTCGCAAGCAAGCTGCCACGGCTGCGGCGAAGGCCAACCAGATCCTGGCAGTCATTAGGCGTTCATTCGAGCTTATCGACGAGTTCACACTCCCACTGCTGTACAAGACTCTGGTGCGCCCACACTTGGAGTTCGGAAATGTGGCATGGGGTCCGTTCAACCGCGCGGATCAACTCCTTATTGAAAAGGTCCAAAGGAGAGCAACACGCCTGGTGGCCTCGATTAGACACCTCCCCTATGAAGTACGACTGCAAACCTTAAAACTGCCTACACTGTCCTACCGTCGACGACGTGGAGATATGATCCAGATGTACCAGCTGTTCAATGGAGGGGTCGACCTGTCTCCGGAGGATTTCTTTTCGACTGCCACTGACGATCGTACCCGAGGCCACTCGCGCAAAGTCCAGAAGCCCAGAGCTGAAAGCCGACCAAGAAGGCAGTCGTTCAGTGTGAGGGTTGTCAACGATTGGAATAGCTTGCCCTCGTCGGTCGTCGGAGCTGTCTCTGTCGAACAGTTCAAATCAAGACTGGACGCCCATTGGGCAAACATCAGGTATCTGATACCTGACAGGAGTTAGACAAGTCCCACATGTTACGAGCTCGATGAGAACGGTTCCCTACAGGCATAGTAGCCTCTAAATTCCGATCAAATTAAGGTAAGGTAAAGGTATTTATGTGATTTCAAAGTCAAGGTTCACAGCTGATCTGCTAAATCAAGCCAAGAATCCAAACTATCAAAAAACTATAAATATTTGTTTGTCTTTCACAGAGGTCTCAAGCAATATAAGGTTGACATATGTTGAATCAAAAATCTACTGCCACAACTCACATCTCCTGCCTTAGTTTATCATTGTTGTTTTAACTTGCTTTCAAGAGAAACAGAAGCCAGTATCTGATATCACTTCAGATGATTGTTTCAAGATCTGAGTTCAAATGGAATTAAAAGCAAGATCAAGATGAAACAGGGATTATTGCTGTTAAAGTAGTTTGGCCATGATACAACAGGCACATAAATCATTAGCCAAATCAAATACTGGTTGGTTTGTCAAGATGTTTGTTGTCTGTCGTCTGTCGAGCTGCTATGAACACTGAATGCTCTCACTCTTACTTTAAAGAGAGTAGTTTAAGTTGAATGGTAGTGAGCTGTAATTAGACAAAGCAGCTATTCAGTGCTCACATCAAGCCAGGCTAGGAAATGGCATCAACTGTGGTGGGAGGAAGCAGGTTCGGCAGGCCTATGTTGTAAACTTCTGTTGTGTCTTGTGTTTGATCAACTGATGTTTTCCAAGGCCCTATATACCAGGTAGGGTCGTCCGGCGATTCTACCTTTTCGTGACGTCAGCTCGTGACGTCATTTAGAGTCAAGTCTCGAAGCCCCGTTCAATCCCCATGTAAATGAGCGATTTTCGAAGCACTGTAGAATGAAGTCTGCACAAGATATATCAAACTTATGTATCTTATCTAAAAGAGCAGACAATTTTCTGCAAGTTATCTATTACGTGTTTTTCGCTAAATCTTTTGCTTTTTTCACAAAAGCGTAAAATGTCCCCCCATGTCTCCGCAGCCTCCCTGTCGCCGGCCGCCGCGCGGTCGCGGTAGTGTAGTGGTTAGCGTGCCCGCGCAGTATTTCAAAGGTCCCGAGTTCGAGTCTATGCGGTGCGGAACTTTAATTGCAATTCCAAGCTGAATATACGCACATCCATAATAAATTATTATTCGTATAGCTAAACTGTCACCAAGCTATCCATATAAATTGACTTCACCCAAAATATCGGCAAGATTCTATTAAAATATAAATTCAAATATGGCGGCTTGGACTGCCGCGTGCGTTAGGCTCCGCCCATAGCTCCGCCCACATGCGTGACGTCATTCGTGTTAGTGGACACGCAGAGAGATAGGGGACGACATGGGCCTGATGTTTTCTGCTCTGTTTTGTGCAGTGATAGTAGCAGGTAACTGCATGTTTGTCAAATTATGTGAATAAACGAATTCATAACATTGCATTTTTCTGTCCATGCAAGGAACAAGTAAGATGTTGTAGAAAATGTAATAGAGGGCTGCATTGCTGATTTCATGCACTTTATCAGAGCTTTATTTAGAATTGCTTTCCTGAAAGCTACACACAGGCCACAGCACTGAAATTCACAATGTCATAGCTTTTGGCAGAAAAAAAAAGAAAAGACTTGCCTAGGTAAAATTGGCTGAAAGTATGGCAGAGCAGGTCTTGATGCGTATGCCCATCCGTGTGCTTGCCGAAGCCGAACTGACTGCAACACATTAACTCTGACCCACCATGGTGGCTGGCATATCCTGAACTTTCACCACTCTAAACAAGACAACTTTCAGCCCTCAGCATTGTATTAAAACACTGTACATGGCAGTTGACACTCAAAATTTGTTTCAGTGCCATCCACGGACAACATCAGTCGCCATTCACCAGGCCAGTAATAATAGCAACAACAGAACAGAATAGATAATAGCTTCAAACCCATGTAGTCAGAGTTACTAGGTCTGCACCTCAAAACAAAATCCAGGTGACATTCACCACGCCAGTAAAAAAAAAAAAACAGGTAGGTACTTAGGTAACGTAACAGCTTCAAATCTGGTAACATGTTGGTCGGACTTAACACTACCATATGTACATGGAATAATATGATACCAAACAATAGTGCAACCATTCTGGACAACAAAAGTGTATGATAAAATTAATTTAGAATACTTTGGCAGCATGATTTACGAGCACAGGCAGGTGTTACCTACCAGCCTTCTCAATGCTCGTAAAACCAACATTGTAGTTTTGATTTTACCTTACATGATAACACACTTGGCTGCAATAGCACATTTAATTTAACACTGTGAAAAGACCAGTTATAACCACTTCACAAGCACAATTGCACCTCATGCCGACATCCTTTTCCAAAGACAGTCAGCAGCGTCTTTCGTCAAAACTGGAAGATCAATCCCCTTTCAACTGTTAACATCAAAAATATTTCTTCATGGTGTGATCTCCTATGGAAACCTTGCGGGAAAAGAATTAATGTCAATTGTCAGCTCTTCAAATTTCTTTGGACTTAAACTTGCAGTACCATATCCAGTTTGCTTTGATATTTTGTTTTTCATTCCATGTTGAAGTTGAACACCAAGCTCCAGATATAGCAGGCAGCTTGATCATCTTCGGCCCTGGTATAATATCAGTCCAAGTTCCAGTGGTGGGTATCTTCTAATATTCAAATTAAAATGAAAAGCAATAGGCTTTCTCTTCGCAGACGACGGATTTCACGTTGATAAAAAAGGGAGCTCAAGGTCAGCAAAACTCGGGTTCAAGGAATGGCGGGCGTTGAAATGACTGCTGACGTCATCAACAAACCGCTAATGGTTAAGAGATAGGGACTAAGCTGGTCCCACCCTGCAAGTAAAGGGAAGAAATTTCTTGAACACCATAAAGCTGCGGGGGTTGCGACCAGGATAAATGGTGGTTTCTGAGCCTGGCCGCAAACTTGGCTATCTCAACTCAAAACTAATGTTAAGGTGGGATGGTCCCTTTAAAGGGACCCTCCCACCTTCAAAAAAGTTAATGAATTGGCATGAAAGTGATGTCGCTCGTTTCAGAAAGAGCAAAAACGAATATCTACCAAATTTCATCGAAAAATATTCACCGGTTTTCAAGATATTAGACTTTTACTTTTGTTTACTTTTTGGGATCTCCGCTGTTCCTAGCGACTTTATTTTGAAAGTGCGGCATTTGTTGCGCGCAAAGCAGCATATACCACCGCGTGCTACAAAACGTTTTAGTCAAACATTTAAAAATCGTTAGATATCTGCGCTGACGTCACACATTCAGAGGGGTATTCCTATGCATTAGCCCCTCTGAATCAAAATGCTGCAATTTTGAAATTCAATATTTCCGCTTTAAGGCATTTCTCGATGTTGTGAGTGCCGAAACCGGTAATTGTGAGCCAGGGACCCCATTTTGGCTATCTCAACTCAAATCTAATGTTAAGGTGGGAGGGTCCCTTTAAGCGGTTAATTATTTGTTTATGGTCTCGTTTTTTAATATCACTCAGTAGTTCGGTTAAATTTAATTCTTTCGATTCAGCTGCTATGATTGTTGTTAATTCCAACAGCTCAAGCCAGGCGTGAACAATACCTTATACCAGTTTCTTGCATAGGTACTACGCAATTCGCGACAGGCTATGAGCATCAGATGCGAGTATAAAATTTCTTTGTCGCAGAAATACTACGTAAAAGGAAATTCGGTAGGTATAGAGATGGATGTACTAAATTCAGTTCTAAATTGCCTTGCGTGCCTCGCAAGCAAAAAACGAAACGGTCCGATCCATGAAAACGGACCAAAACGGAAACCAAGATAAAATAGAAGTCTGGCCATTGAAAAACCTCATCGTGCAGCCACACCCTTCAGCAGAAACCGGTCCAGCAATAACAAATGATTTCCTGTCCAAGAACACCTGGACACAAATGGATTTACAACGTTTTTATATACCCTCACATCCGGAATCGGTCAAACACGTCGCCTTATTGCGATGCTGTCTCCTGTAACACCTAACATCTGGGCCGAAATGCAGAAACCAGTTTCATGTGCGAGTATGTTCTTATTCTATGAATCAGCCCTAACAGCTAGTTCGGCGTGTTGCTGCTCGATGTCCATTGTTAGTCCAGCCTTCCCTGACCGTTTACCCGTTTTGTTCACAGCTGGATGGCTTCACGCCGGTGCTGGGACGGGCTCGGAAGGGCAGCGAGTCGGAACCGGTACTTCTCAGAGCTGACCTGGCGCCTCCCCTCGCACCCTCTCCGCCTCCGCTGTGTGGAAGCACACCTCCGGAGTCTGTGGACCACGTGGACGGAGCTCTCGACAGAGCCCTCGACGAAGCGCTCGACGAAGTTCTCGACGGAGCCGACGCAGAAGGTCACAGTCCTCAACAGAGCGGTTATAGTGGTGATGAGTCAGCCAAGGAAGAACAATTAGAACTGCAGCCGGGAGATGAGGTAAACAATCATCCCCCAGAACAAGACCAGCGTCGATCTTCAACCCTTCACGATGAGATCGAGCTCTATCTCAATCAGCGCCGTGCCAGCATGCCATCAACGGGTCAGCCCTCTGATTTTACTGACCACTCGCGTCGGAAGAGCGAGTCCCACCTGCACATCAAATGGCCGCACCTGGTAGAGTTGGCCCTCAAACGCCATCGGCACAGCTACAACATGCGACAGCAGGCGGCGGAGAGACAGAAAGACAACCCTTTCCGCTGGCGAAAGCGGCAGTTTGATGTGAGCGAAGACTCATCGGAGGTCAAGGTGGAGGCACCTCGCTCGCGCTCATCCTCCAGCGGCAAGAGTCGGAGTCCTTCCAGAGGTGCCGTGGGACCCAGCGTGGGCGACTCGGACTCGGACCCGGAGATGGAGCCGGAGTCGTTCGGAGGCGCCATTTTCCAGAAGCTGACCGTGGTGGCCGGGAGGAGACACCATCGCAACAGCGCTAACTCGGAACCAGAGGACGACCATGAGAAAGGTAAGCTGGATGGCCCTCAGCGGCCTGCGGGGCGCGTAACTGTCCATACGCCTGTACTGATGAAATAACCGGTACGTACGTCGTAGGTGTAACGTGCGATGAAGGCTGCAGTTGTATACCAGACACGTTCCTGCATGCGCCTGAATAGCCTGCAATATCGAGGACAGAGTTTTAAGGAAATTATATCGTGATACAGGAATCTAGCGAAAATGGTTTCGGCTGTATAATTATGTTGTATGCACACTTATGTTAAATGTTCCGGACTAAATTAGCAGATAGGTACCGACATGATCTTGTCTATTGAAGTTGGCCAAACTCAGGAGACGAAGATGTTTGGCATTTGGGGTTACCGGGGCAAAACTTTCCTGTCACCGTCTTTACCCATAAAACCTATTTCTGATGAACAGAGCTGGTGAACAGAGTTTTCAACTGCGCTCATTTAGAAATGCGTCAAAATTTGTCGATTTTGTCGACCAATTACAATGAACAACAGTTAAATGCTTCGCACATCATGTCTACAACGTGATTTGTTCACGTTTTGTTTCCTATTCAAAATTCGCCATTACCTGCATTCCTATATTTTTTTCTGAGACAGGATGTTTCTGATCAAGTTGGAACAATTCTACGCTACTGGCTAAAACGTATCGCTCGGACTATCTGACAGTTGAACTTGGTTCCGGATGGCCAGTGAAACTGTTGCCAAAACGTTTATCGCTGTCCTCCGATAGCTCGGCGAGGAATGCAATGCTATCGTGTCTTTTCCTAAGCCGATTATCTAATCAGCCTCTATCAAATCTGGCGAATGTTTTCACCAATCCTACAGCTGTGTCTCGTCATTTTCCGTGTACGTGCACCACTGACGTTTCACCGCTGGCACGTTTTGTTCGCTACTGCAGCGTTTTACGGGCCAAAGCCAGGGGCCAAATCTGCTCTATGAGGTCATTGATCTCGACTTTATGTCACGATGTAGTAAATAGAGGTTCACATAGACACAAATGCTGACATATCGTAAATCGCCAAGCAATGCTTTCTCTCTCGCTCGTGCAATACCAGTGCATGACTTTGAGATTGAAAACCCACAGGTGCAGTGGTGCAGTGAACGATAAGAACGATAAGCCGAAAGGTCAATTTTTCTTTGACTTTGGCTGAGATGGAGCCGTCATTTTCTCGTTGATAAACGAAGGTATGCTGCAATACCAATACCAATTTTTATTCAGGCAAATCCACTCATAGTGGCTATTCCTTGCCATCAGTCAAGTTGTGAAATGCAGTGATATAAAAAGACATTCACACTTTCCACATGCACATAAACTAAAACGGGCATAATAAAAAGGGAAAAAACTAAAATAAGACAATAATGACGACGACAGCAAGTAACTAGTAGTAAAACACGCATTCCTATGTTTCCCTCGTGCTAATAACTCGCTTGAGAGCGTGATTAAAATTGGCAACTGTCATCGTGCGCATTTCCACTGGGAGGGCATTGTACAGCATCGGTGCACGGTACAAGAACCGGCGCCTCCCAGTCTCCGTCCGTACACGTGGCAGACGCAGGTCATCATCATGTCGAGTGCTCCGTTCTCGTGTCTCACGGTTTGTTTGGAGTGAGGATGAAAGCGACACTGGTGTGTGATGCATGCAAATTTTGTGGAGTAATGCGAGCGTATGAAATTTAAATAGGTCTTCCGCATCGAGCCACCCCAGTGCCGCCCTGACGTCCGCTGAACGGCTGAACTTCCTTCGACCTGATACGACACGCGCAGCAAAGTTAATCACTTTTTGAATCTTGTCTAGATTCTTTCGGCTGCCGTTGCCGTACACAGGGAGGCAGTAGCGGACGCGGGAAAGCACCAGGGCGGCTACGATGGTGGGGAGGACCTCGACCGGAAGATAGTGACGGATGTGCGACAGGCCAATGAGGATCCCGAAGCATTTGCGCGTAATTTCTTGCACATGGGCGTCCCAGGACAGGTGGCGATCAAAGACCACCCCTAGATTTCTAACTTCTAAGACGGGCTGAATTGTACGCTCGCGGAATTTGACGCCGAAAGGTGTGATGTTCCGCAGATTTTGTCTACTGCCAAAAGCTATCAACTGAGTTTTGTCGGGGTTCACCTTGAGAGAATTTGCGCGGAACCAGAGGTCGAGAGAGGAAAGGACCTGTTCCATGCGCTCAGTCAGATCTGACAGGGCTGTCCTGTTGCCGCAGACCATGACCTGGGTGTCGTCCGCGTACTGGACAACGGTCGCATCCGGCACGAACAGGCTGAGGTCGTTTGAAAAGACGGTGTATAAGAGGGGACCTAGTGCCGAACCTTGAAAAACGCCCATGTTGTTCGGAAGCGCGGTTGATGTCTGCCTGTTGCCAGAGACATCAGTGAAGCTGACGCTCTGTGTGTGGTTCTGCAGGTACGCCTCAAACCATGCAGTGTCCACACCGTGTAACTGAAGTTTTTGAAGAAGCTTAGAATGGTCTATGACATCGAAACATTTACTAAGATCAAGCAGGCAGAGGAGCGAAATTTGATTTTGATCGTTAGCCAGGAGAACGCGATCCGAAATGGTGACCAGTGCCGTTTCGGTGGAATGGCGAGTGCGGAAGCCGTGTTGGGTGTCGGAAAGGAGGTGGTTGATAGTGAGGTAGTGGTACAGCTGTCGCTGCACCACTCGCTCAACTATTTTGGATATAACTGGGATGATGGATATGGGCCTGAAGTTGACGGGATTGGAAGGATCGCCGGATTTATGGATGGGATTGACGAGGGAGTGTTTCCACTCCGCAGGGATATCACATCGAGTAAGGCACGAGTTAACCAAATGGAGCAGTATGTGGCTGATCACAGGTAGACACATTTTTATGACTCGGACACATATGCCATCGACCCCGCAGGCCGAGGTTCCGGGCATGCTTAATATGACGCTGTTAAGTGTACGGAGGTCGATGGCAGACACGGCAAAGGCGCACGCTCCCACTCGCGGCAGCCTACCGGGGATACTCGGTTCACTCCCCTGTAGTCTCACCTCGCGCGCGACTTTCGGCCCAACGTTAACAAAGTACGCGTTCATATCACCAGCGGACACCAGGGGCACAGTCCTCTGTGATGGCTGTTTTCCCGCTACATGCTGTCTGATATTGCGCCACAGTGTGTGAGGGCCCTGCTCCTGAGGCTCCAATCTGAGGCTCACATTTGTCTGTGACCGATAAAGCTTTATCCTTTTTTTTTTCTGAAAGCTTAGTTCAAGATTTTCCGTGGTTAGTTTTTGCAAGGCCAACTGAAAACATCGAGGAACTTTCAAATTCCTTGATGAAGACGGCATAATTGACCCTATTGCTATGAGCCAGATATAGGTATGGGGTTCTATGTGTCTAACTGATGAGCGATCAAATCAATTTGTATGTCAGTAGATTTATTGATCTTATAAAAACCTTTTCAGTTCAAGTTCGACTTTCAATCATTCAGATACCACGCTTTCCATTGCTAGAAAAATGACTTCAACATATAGAAGTAGGCATTTATCCAAACAAAATTCAATAACCTACATATCCTAACACTTGCGCTACATCCGGCAGAAAATGATGCGGTATGGTGTAGGTATATGAAAAGTATGAAAAAGTACTGAGTCGTTGGACTTGGGCCAGGCGTTTGACTATTTTTTGTTACCTCCTCGCGGTTTCATATCGGTAGGGGAGAGTGGGGTGGGTTGTATCAGTTTTTACTCCGAGACCCATAACCTCGTAACTATCCGTGATAAACTCATTATTTCCATACTATCCCCTTCCTTGATTGTTCTGCTTTTTTGTGCAAAGTAACTTTTCCGCTACCTCTACCAGTTTTTCTTCTACGGTCTGCCGAATAGAGCAATGTTTTTGATACAACTTGCCCCATGGCTTGGGTGAGTTGTATCACATGGTGGGGTAATTTGTATCACTATTTCACGTTTCAGGGAGTGTGCTTGCTACTGGTTTTGAACATAACAGCAACATTAAATGGGGTTAATACAATGTATAGGTATGCTCAAAGGCTTCACTTTATTAGACCAAACTTAGGTCAATGCAATCCGAACGAAACATCAACAGACTAGACGCAAAAGTGGCCCGTTAAGAGCAAAGAAGCCAACACATTGTGCCGAAATGGAACGAGCATTGACTAGCTACCTACAAACGCGAGCCAGGGCTTAGCTTTCGCGATCAAAAGCAACATACCCATACATACATACATACATACATGTTACAACATACCCCACCCGGCTCTGATACAACATGTACCTAGCCGCCATCTTGGAAAAACATCCTCGTGCTAAAAAAAAAACAGCGGACAGCTGGAGAAATCCGTTTTCACTCACGCAGCCTTAGAACCTACCCTCACCACCGCTACGGAGATCTTTCAAATTCGTGCACATCCAAATGCCCAAAACACACATTTTCTTGCAACTTATTTTTTTAGAATGACATTAAAAAAAAACATAAAATCGGCTCTCACCTCGAGACGCGTCCACTCAGCCACAAGACAGAACAGGGGAAGATGGCGCCCGGAAAACCTCGTCGGCTGGTCGTGTCGCGAGCGCCATCCATTGGATAAGTTTGGCACAATTCGCCCTGATACAACTTGGACATGATACAACTCTCCCCGCTCTCCCCTATATTTTAGCTGTATTTATTGTTAAAAGTTATACAACATGCTGGAACATTTTCAATCAATTCCTTCTTACATAGCACAGTCATTTGACGGTGCATTTGGTACCGTTGCCATGCGCTGAAGCCGCGGGCCCTTCTTCAACCAAGGCCCGCCTGTTGGGCTTACGTCAGCATAGGAAAACGCAGCCACATGCCGTGTCGATGTGTGTCCTGATTAACGCCCGGGCTCCCTACCGGTTTTCAGGTGGCCTAACGATTAGATTGAAAGATAACTAGATCGGCGATTATAATAAGCAAGCGCTTCTTTTATTGCTGAATTATATATTACGCCAACATCTTTACTCAAACACGGATATAGTAGGGGAGAGTGGGGTAAGATGCCCAGGGTGGGAAAGACGCCCCACCCCCTCTAGCGGGGAAACAAAGAATCGAACCTGGAAATTAATGTTCTTAGCGTAAAGCAGAAGCCTGCCTTGTTAACTGCACAAAAATTTGCGAAGCTCAGTTGGGCAACGGCTGGCTGGTGATTGCACGTTTTTTATTTGCTGCTTTCAAAAAATATTTTGGCGTCAAAACATTGTAAATATCAAAAAAGGTAAATAATTTTTGCGTCCCTTGCTATAGTCGTGATACATTAACATGCGTGTACTGTGTCCCAAACAGTTTGTTTCAGGGTGTAGTTTTATGGCTAACAAATTGTGCTGATTTAACGTTACTTCGGTACCTTGGGGTAAGATGCCCCCTGTCCTGATGGGGAAAGACGCCCCCCTAAATCCGTAGGCTGTCCTTCAAGCAGCCCGTCAAATCATTTATTGCATACTTGTGATGAGAGACAAAAGCCGATCTGGGACTATTGAGAGTCCGGTACGGTCGGGTGCTCCCCATGCCGGTCTCTCGGCCCACACAGCGACTTTTTGGGCGGCATCGACTCTGAGAGCCCTCACGACGGCCTCTGTGGGCCCCATTATTGGTTCTAGGGCCCCTCACGACATCCTTTGAGGGCTCTCACGTTGGCTCCACGGGCCGCGCTGGCATCTGAGCTCCCCACGATGGGCTCGAGGGCCCTCAAGCATCACGAAGACCTATAAGGGCCCCACAGCGGTCTCCGAACGCCACCACGGAGGCTTGTTTGGCCACGTTGGACTATGATGGCCCTAACGATGACCTCTGAAGCCCCTAACGACTACTTTCGAGGGCCCTTACGATGACGTTTGGTGTCTTCTGCAGGCTCGAAGGGACTACTGATTCGTTCAGGCGATTCACGTGCCTATTTATGTCACTTTTAGTGCAGGGGGCATCTTACCCAGCGCCAGGGGGCGTCTTTTCCACCCTGTGGGGTAAGATGCCCCCTTTCACTTCTTCAGGAAAATGCTTAATAGCAAAAAAAGGTATCATATTTCAGGCACGAAAGTGTGATATTTTTGGAGAAAAATGATGTCGGCTTCCGTTAAAACTCCAAGTTTTGGCTTTCCGATCGTCATTTTCTAATAATATATGACATAGTCAAACCCTGGGCATCTTTCCCCACTCTCCCCTACCTACCTAATAGGGAATTAAAAGACAGACACGTCTTGTTAGAATTTTTGACTGCATTTAGGCATGTGCGTGGCATTAATGATGCGCCCAGTAGCGGCTCGCTAAACTGCGCAATTCATTTTCAATCATTTTTAGTCCCTTTTGAATTGAACCCATGTAGGAACTAAATGCTTTGTTTACGTTTCCCTGCGTCGTTGGACGCCAGTTCGTTCGCGCTCGTCAGCCTGCGTGTCCGTCTTTGTGTTCGTCCGCTTCGCTTCTGTGACCGTCTGCCTGTGTGTCGTCCCGAGGTGGGGGCGGTGCGTCATCGGCCCGTGCGCCGCTGGAGAGGCAGATGACATTTCCGGCCGCTCCGAGCCTCCCCGGCTGGATGGACTGGTCTGACCTGGCTAACGACTGGCTGCTGGAGGCGATACAGCCGCCACAGGACTCCCCCGAGATGTCGGGACAACGGCCACCGCTGTCAGGTCACCAGGCACCACCGGCAGGTCACCAGTCACCACTACCGGGTCATTGGGAGAGGTCAGGTCAGTGTCCGGGGCAGGTCAGTGGGTCAGAGACGGATTCATGTGGACCAAGACACCACCTACGCCAGTCCATGCCCGAGCTCCGACCTGTGTGCTGGAGGTCGGACAGTGACTTGAGTCCCTCCAGTGATGTCAGCGAATCGTGCATCAGCGTAGGGAGAAGATATCACGACGGTTACAGTGATTTCAGTACGCCATTGACGAGCTCATTCAATGACTCCAGTGACTCCAGCGTGGATGCTGTCGACCTTGCTTCATATCATCACAAGCACATGATTCAATTTCAACCCAGCCGTTTTCAGCCATCATTTGGACTGGAAAATTTTACCCTTCGTGCAGCAGACAGAAACGCACACGGAAGATTTGCAGACACTCTACTTGCAGATTCACCCACCAGCCCTAAACCTACCGACCCTGGCTTATCGCCTACGCCGGTGCTTGATTCACGGCTCAATCCGCTGCGGCCCGGTCCAGTGGGTTCCCTTCACCGGTGGGCCGAGCCCGGCGGTGGCGGTCGCCACGGCGCCACCGACAGCGATCCGCACCAGATAGTGCCAGCGAGCGGCGACCACCGGCGCGTTTTTGCTCCAACAGACTCGTCACCGCCGCACGACGGCGACTCGGCGCTCGGCGAGTCGCACGGAGAGTCACGAGTAGAGTCACGAGTAGAGTCACGGCGCGGGTGGCACACGGAGCAGCCGTTTTACCGCCTTCACGGCACGGCCGGCAGCAGCGGCGAGTCCGGTATCGGCGATGAGGCGGCCGAGGGGCGGCCGCCGCCGCTCGGCCAGGACCGCTGGCCGGCCGAGCCATCGCTCCCTGGCAGTCACCAGCGGCACAAAGCCGGCGCCAAGGTCAGCACTGGCCAGGGGAACGGGACTGCCGCGTGCCCGGTGCCGGCGCGGCGCGCAGGAGCCGTCTGCAGCCGGAGCCGCGCCGCCGGACCACTCGGTACAACGGCGAGCGAAGGAGCCGAGACGGGACCCGCGAATGAGCCACTGGTGAACACGACTCAGGAAGAGGGCGAGAGAATCGAGCGAAAGGGCGGAGGTGCGGTGAAAATGATTGAGATGAAACCGGAAGCGACGTGGAGCTGGCGACAGAATGAGACAAGGCACAGGACGACTAAACTCGAGCACATAATTATGAGAGACGCCGAAACAAACACAGAGCCGGATTTGTATCTAAAAACACGGCGGAAAACAGTAGCTGAAGCGGAAACGGAAATACGCCGTGGAACGTTTCTCTATGCTCCGAGCTTAGTAACTGGGCAGGAGAAGTGCCAGGCACGGCACGGTCTAATCAGATGGCCTCTGAGCACTACACCGTGTGAGATACACGGACAACTCGGCGCTCTTTCATCTGGCGGCATCGACTGTTTTCAGTGTGACACACAGACTGGAGGGAGCGGCGTCTCACAAGCGCCGCCCGCTGCCGCCGCCTTAGCAAACACAGCACCACTCGCTGCCACGGAGTACGTGACCGATAGTAGGCGTTACATGAGCCGGCGCGGACTGGAGCCGACAACCGAGCCGCACCTGGAAACCAACCACCATCACGTGCTATTCGGAGTCACGACGAGCCGGAACGGAAGCGGCCGCGAATCCGCGTACGATTCACATGCCCAGCGAGGTGCAAGGTCACAGGTTGTGTACGAGCACGACCGCGTGAGAGTGCTGATCACGGAGGAGGGGCTTTGGTCGCATGACAAGGCTTATCGTGGGACGGGGCTCAAGACTGGATTTCAGACGAGACAGGAGACGGAACTGAAGACGGGACTGGGCACGGGACGGGGGACAAGACGGGAGACGGCACGGGATAAGGGACATGAGTCGTCACGTGAGCTGTCTTCATCTCGGAGCTGTCTCCGCCGTTGCCTCAGCTGGGCGGAGCCGGGGTTTGACCGAGCTCAGCAGTGCCCCCGCCCCGCGCGGCGTCACGCGAGCACCGCGTCCCGTATCGAGAGCCGGTGTGACGCCGCCGATAGGGCCGATAGTGACGCTGACGCAGCCCCGCCCCGGCGGCGGCGGCGGAGCCAGGTGAGGGCCCCGGGCGGCCATGGGGGCACCGCGGGCGGGGGCGGCGGGCGGCGGCGGGGTCGGGGCGGCTCCGAGTCACCGGGTCTGGCCGAGTCGGCCGGCGCCGGCGGATCGCCGCCGCACGAGGAGAGAGGCTGCTGGCGGCCGGCCGGGCCCCGGGCGGCCGGCGGGCCGCGCCGCGCCGCCGCCGCCGCCGCCGCCGCCGCTGCCGCGCCGGGCCGCCAGTGTTGGTCCGGCGGCGGCCGCGAGCGCCCCGGTCCCCGCTCCAGTGCATCGCATCCCGTGACCGCGCGGCCTACGGCAGCCGCAGCACGCGCCGGCGCTGACGCGGAACATAGCACGCCGACACCGACGAAGGCGCTGTGCAGCGAGACGATCTCGACACGATCGCAACTTCTGACACCGCGGGACGCGGCCATGGAAGACGAGAACCACAGGAACTCAGCCATCACGGCACTCGCCGATGATCCGGTGAGGATCGAGGAGTGCGCGCCACCGGAGCCCAAAGTGGACGACTCGGAGTCAGACGAGTCGACGTGTGAGTACGACTTGGTGGTGGCCGCGCAGCGCTACCAGCGGGGCGCCGCCGGCCGCGACGGTGCCGACGACAGCGAGGCCAGCGCCGACGCCACCCACTCGGACTCTGACGACTCGGACTGCTCCGACCCGGAGACAAACGTGCGCCAGATGTACGTGCTCAACCCGAGCTCGTCGGTCGAGGAGCTGCTGGACGCGGCCGACAGCGGCACTGACTCTCCGCTGACGGTGGACGCGCGGCCCGTCTCGCGGCCCGGCTCGCCGCCCGGCCGGCCCGGACCGGTGCCGGGCCCCGGCTCCGAGCCTGGCGTGCACGACAAGCTGTCCGAGGCAGATACTGGCAGCGATACGGGCCGGTCGGCAGAGGCGGCGCCGGCTCAACACGCCACATCGGACCAGCCGGCTGGCCCAGCCGAGGCCGACGCCTCACAGCCTAAAACTGCCGAGGCTACGACGGCTGAGGCGCCAGCTGCCGGGTCCAGTGCTGAAGCAGAAGCTGACGCCAAAGCTGGAGACACCGTCGAAACTAAAGATGTCAAACCTGAGCCCGGTGTTCAGACTGATGATGACTCTCCGGGTGACCATGGGACCGAAGATGATGAAAATTCGACTGTTACACAGAGAGCAGTTGTGTTGGATACCGGTCAAAAGGGAGCCGTGGTGCCCGATGACACGGGCCAGGGGACAGAGACTAAATCGGTCGTGGAAGGACAATGCGATACGGACTCAGTCGAGGAGGACCTGACTGTCACAGAGCCCGTCGAAGTGACGACGTCTGCTGCGGCAGCTCCGACCTCAGCAGTATCGGCAGATGTGATAGTCGGTGTCGGTGAAACTCCTTCAGTCTCTCAGCGGACTTTGCCAGAGACTACGGAGACGTCCGAGACTGGTGTAGTGACCTCTAGTGTGTGCGCTTTTCCAAACGATGATGAAGTGCCCCGTGAAAAGACGGCTGCTGTCGGTGACAGTCAGGAGCCGACGAAAGTCACGTCTTCTGACGCCACAGGCGCCAATGACTCGGCCGTTTCGGAGACGGCTCCGGCGGGTCACGTAGCCTCGGGCGAGGCAGAGACAAGTGCGCGTGTCGAAGCGACGAGTGCGAGCGACGTCAATGTGTTAAACGCGGCGACTTTCAGTGATAGTGCCAAACTAGTAGCCGATTGCGACAGTGTGCGCGCCGCGAAATGCGCGGATTCAAGCGACGTGTGTGCCAATGAATCGAGCGGTGACTCGAGTGCCAATGGTGAGAGTGACGCGTGTGCGGCGAAATCGGCGCTGTCGAGAGCCGCCAGCCCGCCGGTGTGCGCGAACAATGCGAGTGATTCCAGGACAAAGGAATTGACCGAGACGGCCGCTGGCGGTGCCGAGGATTCCACGGTGGCGTCCCGGCCGCCGCCGGTCGTGACCTTGACCCCGGCGCCGGACGGGGTCCGAGACGCTCTCACGGCGCCGAGCAGCGCCGGCCAGCTGCAGGGGCGCGCGGAGACACCGGCCGGAGACGTCACCGAGCCCCTCGGGGCACAGGTAACCGCCGACACTGCCCGCCAGGACCGGTGCCCGCAGCCGGCGGCAGGTGAGCGGCCGGCCGCGGCCAGCGAACGGCCGACGGGGGAACGGGCTCAACACGACCCGGGTAGTCCAGACAGTGCCACAGAACAGGTGCCAACCGAACAAGGGGTCGGGCAGGAGGGGGAACTGCCCCTCGCTGCCGAAACGGGTACAAATGGGGAGACTGTTCCAGTGACCGGTACTGGTCATCACGAACTCGACTCTGACGGACTCAAAGATGAAGAAGTTTCCATCAAAAGTGAAGAGACTATGAGCGAGACCGTGCCAAAAACAATCGACGCTGAAAGCGAACAAATTGCACCCGCCCATGCGTCTGAGGTGGCCCTATCCGGAATTGAATCACTCGATCCCGACCACACCGCACCCACCCGTACACCCGAGCCTGTCACGCAAGGCCAGGGCACCCCTGCCCCAAACCCTGCTCCCGAATCAGCAGTGAGTTCCACCTCACCAATCCCCAGCACCTTCCCGGCGCCCGCGGCGCTCGTGACTACCCCCGTCCCCGTGCGTGACGCACCGACCGGGCCGGAATGTGCGGCACCCGGTCCGGCCGGCGCGCAGGAAAAACTCGTCTCAGATGATCCAACAGCTGTAAAAGTGGCGGTGGACGGCGGCGGCGCACTGGTTCGCCCTGAGTGCCGGTCGCCGGAGGAAAAACCCGCGGCGGACGGGCCGGTGCCGGCGGACAGTTGTCGCGTCGCCACGGCCAGTGACGTCACCACAGCGGCTACCGAGGCGGGGCCAGGTGACGGCGCCGGGATCGGACCGCTCCGAGACACTGCGCAGATTGAGGCAGGGCGCGCGGTGGGTGGGGCTGAGCCTGCTTTGGGGAGCGGGGCGGAGCCTGCTGTGGGGAGCAAGGCGGAGCCTGCAGAGAACGAGGCGGGGTCTGCTGCACCGGCAGGAGCTGAGACGGCCCCCATGGCTGGCGCCGGTGCGGAGACAGGCTCCTTGACGGCTCCCGAGACAAAGACAGAGGCTGTGCAAGACAATGAAACGACTCCCGAGTCTGCTAAAATCGATACAGAACCAGCACACGAATCCCACACCGCAGTTGACGTCAGTTCAACCAGCAGTCCCAACGTCAGCCATCAATCAGTCAATGACACTGAGGCCGATCATTCAGCGCCTGTTGATAGTGAAACAGATCGAACAACGGACAGGACTATCGAGACTGAACCAGCTATCGCATCCAAATCAGCCCCCGATGCCGCCGCAGCCACTGATAATGCGGTTGATAGTGTCCATGCTGCACATTCACCGGTTGGCACAATGGTGACAGGGGCTGAAGCGACTGGAAAAGGTCCCAGTGATGTTGTAGGTCACCCCAGGTCAACGGATGACCTGGCAGAAGAGGATGCGCCACGTCAAAGTGAGGATAACGCCAGTGGAGACTTAGCGGCTGATGTCATGCCAGCTGATGTTGCGTCAGGTGGTGGTGGTGTCACGGCGGCTGAGGCTTCAGAGACTGACGCTGTACCGGCTGATATGGAAGCTACTCAAGTCCAAGCAGCTGACATCACACCTAGTGACGTGTCGGAAAATGACGTCCCGAAAGCTGAAGTTCCTGGAAGTAGCGACTCAACATCTGACGTGCCGTCGGGTGACGTTACGTCTGTTGCCAGGGCTAATATTCCAGCTGCTAATGACGATACGACTGATGTCCCATCACTTTGTGTCGAGGTCACCAATGTCTCCTCCTCAAATGACCCAGCAAAGGACAGTACGCAGCTAGAGCTGGCCTCGGATAAATTAGCGGTCGACGGCCCGGCAGCAAACGTTGCAGATGAAAAGACAACAGCCAGTGATCTCATTAACTCTGCAGCCACTGATCTCAAGGGCACGGCGGCAGGCGGGAATGAAACGTCACATGAGACGGAGCTTTCAAACGAGCAGCAGGCAGCTGGAGTCGCAAAAGAAAACGATTCAAACCCTGACAAGACTTTTGGCATTGCAACTAATGAGCCCCACAGCGATACTGAGAATAGCAGTGTCACTGAGGGACGCTCGCTCCCTGTGTCCGGAGAGGGTAGTGGCAATTCGTCCGGCCCTGAGCACGTGTCGGTGGCAGGGAACGCCACGGCGCACCCGTCCGGTGCCGAGCGGCCCCTCAGCGCGGCCCCTAACGAGACATCGGAGCCGGCCGAAATGGCTCATTCGAGCCCGCCAGCTCCTGCAGCTGAGCACGAACCTGTCCCTACTGAGGGCGCCAGCCCGGCGGCCGGCTCGGACCACCGTCTGGCCGGCTCGGCGCCCGTGCTGACCGCTCAGACAGACGTGGCCGACCCCTCGGATACAGCAGCACCGGGTGCGAGATGTGACGCGGCGTCGATCGGTGAGCCCGGCCCGTCGGCGGCAGAGGTGTCCGCCGGTGGCGCCACCAGCACCGCGGACGGCGCCACCAGCACCCCAGCTCCGGCTGGTGCCGAGGAGCAGACGGCGACCGCCGAGCCCCGACCCGAGGGAGGGGACCCGGCGGCCAGCGGGGAGCCTCCTGCAGCCGCGCTGCTGACTGAAGGCGTGACACCGGCAGGTCCGGGGTCGGAGTCGACCCTGGAGACAGCACCGGCACCGCCATCGGTGTCTGATCGGCCACTGTCCGACTCCGGAGGTCCGGGAGAAAGCCAGCAGTCGGGCGGCGAAACCCCGGCCGCCGGACCCGACCGGCAGCCGGCCGAGTGGGCGACGGCCGTCGACACGGCGCCAAAGCACGCCGGCAAGGCGAGAAAGTCCAAGAAGAGAAGGAAGAAGGACGCGGCGAAAAAGTCGGCCATATCGGCGAGTGTGGAGAATATTGCCGATGCTGCTGGCACGAGTGAAACGGGTGAGCCAGCCGTCCAAACAACGAAGCCGGCGAAAGGAAAGGCAAGTATCGTCAAGGAAAAACCGGTCGAGCAATCTTCAAAACAAACAAAGGCAGATGCGCAAAAGGCCAAGAAAACAGCGAACACTGCCACGCCTTCAGCAAAAAGTAAACAAAGCAAGCGAAAAACAACTGCACCTGCTCGTGGTAAGAAATCCGAGGATGATAATGCCGTGGATAATACAAGTGCTTCGAAAGAAGGTTCAACATCTTCTACAGCAGAGCGAACAAAATCCGTTTCTGAGGAGAATAGTTCAAAAGAGAGGTCAGAAGGACCCGAGGAGCCTCTCAGTTCCACACAACAGTCCAGCACTTCTTCAAACGACACTGCTGTCATCGCCCTCCCTACCGCAGAGTGCATCGCCAAATCGCCTTTATCAGAGGGCCCACCTGACACGGCTTCGCCTGTGTCAGAAGGCCCCGCTGAACCACCCATTTCAGCATCAGAGGGCACACCTGACATCGCCAGTCCCGAGTTGAAAGGCTCCGAGGACCCGGCCCGCGGCCCCGTCAGTCACACTCACATTTCATCTAGCAATGAGACCCCGACAGTCGGTATCGAGAGCGAGGGTGCACCGTCTGCAGTTGGCTTTGAATCCGCTACACCGGAAAGCTCTGAACCAAAGGGACCACTTAGTCCTGAGCCAGTTACCGAGCCTCTTGAAACAGCGAGCCCTGTGATTGACAGTTCTGAACAGCTGAAAGCTCCCTCATCATCTGCAACCGGTAATCGTGAATCGGTCAATTTAGCAGAAACGACAAAGACAGCCGATTCCAATGTTACAGACCTGGCGGCTGAATCTGATGAGTCTGGCCGTCCCGACAAAATCGCACTAAGTGCAGATTCATTAGATGGCCAGGCTGAAAGCAAAGCAGAGGAGGAAATTGATGAGCCAATCAAAGCCACTTCAGTCGACAAAGAAGAGGTATTGACAAAAACTAATTTATCTGGAACAGGTGGGTCAGACATTGAGGTCACCGTCACCGGCTCATGTGAAGATCAGTTGCAGCCAGAAGCTAAAACACCCGTTGAAACTGAAAGCCCGGCAAAAACTGCAATAGCTGAGACAAATGAGAGGCAAAGCGAAATCATAATGCCTCGTGAGACAGGGCCGCTGGTAGAAAAAGACATTTCCATCGAGTCTGGCCAAGCAGCCGAAATCGTCAAACCGTGCGTTGACGGCGATGGAGTGGCCTCGGCCAGTGTTTCTGAACAGACGTCTCCAACAGAGGAAATCAAATTACCGTCTGAAACGAGGGTTTTGGAAGCAGTCGAGTTGTCAGCAGAAATCGAGCCATTGAAAGAAGCGGATGAGGTGATTGAAAGCAAGGCAGTTGATGATGTGAAAGCTCCTGATGATGTATGTGAGAAGGAGGATGAGGTGGGTGAATCCACTACTTCAGAAACTACCAATGACCTTGCCGAAAAAGATGAGCCTGAAAATTACATGATGGACGATGATGCCGATGTTACTCAAGAAGTCGAAGCAGTGGAGGAAGTGGTAGAATCGGTCGAGGCGGAGACAGCCCACAAAGACAATAGGCTGATTGGATCAACCGCAAGTGATGAGAATGCTCCGGCACTTGACGCCAGTACACCCGAGAAAGACTCGAAACCAGCCGATGCCTTCCCTGCTGCCGATGAAAACTCATCGACTGAATGTAATGTCACAGCTGAAGTAAGAGATTCTGAGGAAAGTATATCTGCTGTCTATAAAACCAAAGGACTTATTGAGGGCGAGACATCCACGGAGGATAAATCGACCGAAGGAAGTGAGCGCCCAGAAGAATTTCAGCCATCCAAAGTTGAAAATGTATCGAAAGAAGATGACGAATCGGAGACAACGAATGTAACCGTTGAACGGAACGCGTCCAATGAAACCAAGGCGCTTGACGAATCCAAGGTATCCGAGGAAATTAAAGGATCGGAAGACGCGGAGGTACTTCAGGAAACATCTGAATCCGAGGAAAACAACGCACCCGAAGAAACCAAGATATCTGAGGACGGCAGTCAGTCTGTTGATGGAGCGATGCTCGAGGAAACCAGCAAATTGGAGGCCTGTACCGTTTCTATGGAAGAAAGCGAAGGTGCTAAAACTTCATCCCCTGCTGAAGTCATCGAGTCTGGGAACACCGACCCGCCAGTCAAATGCGACATATCTGACGAAAAAGATGCAATGCCCCAGAACGAATCATCCGTTGAAAAGGAAACATCTGCCGAGACTGGGAACTCCGAGGAGGTCGGTGTCCAAGCTGAAGCAGCAGTATCTGCAGAAAACGATTCATCGGTCGAAATTAGGAAAGAAGAGGATGCGAATATCGGAGCTGCAGGCAAGGACAAGGAATCATCAGATGATGCTGACCCAGCTACTTCAGTTGATCAGCATGAAACATCTGGTGATGCGCTGAAGACCGACACAACTCAGGAAATCAAAGATTCGACCGAGCCAGTCTCATGTGAAGGTGCAGTATCAGTAAACGTCACTGAAGCATCCGATAGTGCCGATGTCCCAGAGGATAGCGAAGTCTCTGAGAACAAGGCGTCCCAGGTTGAAAATATGGTGCAGGCAGAAGCTGATAAATGTGGGGATGCCAAGTCGGTTCTAGATTCTAATGCACGCTCCGATGATGAAACCCCCATTGAAACGATTTCACCCGAGGAATCAGAAAAGACGGTCAATAATGCCGAATCTGAGAATTCGGACCACGCTGAAGGAATGAAGGAGGAGGCAAGCGTTCAGCCTGGTGATGAAACACAAAAAGTTGCTGAGACCAGGGTGCCTGTGGAATCTGAAGCTCTGACTGAAACAGTGGTACTCGACAAAGCTGAGTCGCCTGTTGCCGAATTTTCCGTTGAAGCGGCTTGCGTATCTCACGACGTGCCTGGGAAAATGGATGTGCTAGCAGAGGATCATTCGATCGAAACCAATACGGATGATTCAAAGGAGTCGAACAAAAACGACGACGATAAAAGCACCGAGGAGTTGGTCGAAGCTAAAAAGGTCGTCAAAACTGAGCCTTCTACGGACCATGGCGATTCGACCGAATGCAAAGAAACTGACAAAACTGAACGTTCGATTGAAACTGATGGATCAGCAGCCGCCCAGGCGTCGGTGACAGCCACATCAACTGAGGGAGAGCCCTCGGAGGAAATTGTTTTCAAAGAACTCACGGAACCTGTCGAGGCCATCGCAGCAGCAGAGACGAAGGAAACAGCACATGAAACGTCGACACCAGATAAACCAACCTCCGAAATTACCGCTCCAGACGCGACCGATTCTCTGCCATTAGACGCTAGGCTTTCAGACAACAAAATAACCGTCGAGACGAAAGCGCCTGAAACGGACACTGCGGTTGAGGATTCAGGACCACCACAAATCATGCCTGTGGTGGAATGTGAGACTTCTGTGTCGGGAACGCACGGAGAAGTCATTTCAGTGGAGGCCAAAGCTGCGGTGGAATCGACAACGCCACTGGAGTCCGAGGCCCCTCTCGAAACAACGGCGAGAGCGGAAACAAAACCACCGGTGGAAACTGCTGCGCAGTCTGAATTAGAGTCCCTGGACAAAACGGAGACGGTTTCAGAAACCAACGCATTGGATGGTGGAATATGCTCTGAAGAAGATCCGGTTGATGTTACGGTAACAGAAGAAGCCAATAAGTCAACAAATAGCGCGTCATTGCCAAAGGCTGAAATGCCTGTTAAAACTTCAGTTGGCGAGGAAACTGAAGGACCAGTTGAAAATAAACCTCCGGCGGGAACTGAGACGTCTGTCGAAACGACGGTAACCGAGGAAACTGAAAGATCAGTCGAAACTGTGTCAGCTGCAGAAGTTGAAGCAGCAGCTGACACTGTTGAAACGACGGAAACTGTGAATCCATCCGAAACTACGGTAACCGAGGAAACAGTCGAAACTGTGACAACTCCGGCTTCTGAAGCACCAGTTGAAATTATGGAAACGATGGAGACTGCAAAACCATCTGAAACTGTGGAAACTGTGGAAGTTGAAACGCCAGTTGAAACTGTGAAACCAGCAGAAACTGTGGAAATGGTAGACGCTGAAACACCGGTTGAAACTGTTGAAAATGAGACGCCATCTGGAATTACAGTTCCTCCGACGTGTGCGGTGCCGGTGGAAACAGCGGTTTCCGTCGAAACTGAAACGCCAGTGGAAACTGCGGCTGCAGCACAGCCCGAGCCGTCTGGCGAAACCAAGGCGACATCCGAAACTGAAAAGCCAGTTGAAACTGTACTACCATCGGCAGCTGAAATTTCAGTTAAAACCACGATACCGCTTAAAACTGAGACACCAGTTGATCCAAATATCTCAGCTGTAACTGAAACAACCCCTAAGGCTTTGACGCTTTCAGATACTGAGACCTCGGTCGAAACTATGACGACAGCCGAAACTGAAGCTGCACCCGAAACCGCTCATCCTGTAGAAACTGAAACACCGATCGAAGCCGTCAAAGTAACGGAAACTGATGTGCCGATCGAAACTATGGAACGGCATGAAGCTGAAACACCGGCCAAATCCACGGCACCGGCTGAACCCGAGACGTCGGTCGAGCCCTTGTCCGCGGTAGTGGAATCGGTCCAACCCACGATTGAAGCTGAAAGTGAGAAACCGATTGAAAACCCAACAGTACCAACAGAAAGCAAAGCATCGGAAGAAATTGCAGTATCTACTGAAACAAATACGACCGACACATGTGTGGAAACCACGGTTCAAAAAGCTGACGATGCACCGCTTCAAAACACGGCAGATCTTGAAACTGAGAGCTCGATCACACCTTCTTTGCTAGAAAAGTCCACTGTTCAGACAGAACCAGCAACAGCTGAGCCCGACCCGAAGCCAGAAGCAGAGACATCGCAAGCAGCAACAGCAGGTGCAACTGCGCCAACAGCTATCACGAGTGCATCGGAAATTGCAGAGGCATGTTCGCTTTCTGTGGAAGCGGAGACACCTGGTAACGTCACACCATCAGAAGAAATCCCAGAGACCATTGTCCCATCAACTGACAAAGATGCATTGTTTGAATCAAGACCACCGATTGAACATAAAATGATTGACGATACTTTCGTATCAGAAGATACTTTCGTATCAGAAGCTGCAATTGTAAATGAAAACAATGCTACAACAGTGACTGAGATGTCAACGGAGGACGGCTCTTCCGAAACAGAGACATCATTTATTTCTACTGTGTCGTCAGAAACCGAAGATTCCATAAAAACTACGATATCTGTGGAAGCCAACGAGGAACAATCACCAGTCGTTGAGAGTCAACTGCCTGCTGAAGGCACAATAGATGAAGGATCACCTGAAGACAGCACAATGACAACTAAAGCTGTCGTGCCAACTGAAACCGATGCTCCGTCTGCAATTCAAACGGAAACGGCCGTACCTGAAGACTCCAGTGTGTCGCCAGTCAAAACCGTGGCGTCAGACAGCACTGCTACGGAATTGGTACCCACAGAACCAACGGAAACCGTCTCCGACACCGACGAACTCGCGCGGGCTCAACAAGTGCCAACAGTGCTCGGCCCGACAGATGTGACGGCAGTCAGTGGTGACGTGTCGGACGTCTGTGCACCTGTGGAATCCACCGAAACTCCGCCTGCGGACTCCGCCGGCACTCAGCCTGTGGACACCGCCGGCACTCCGTCTGCTGACACCGCCGACACAGCCGCCCGCTCAGGTGGGCGGGACCCGCCACCAGCTGATTCGGTTCCCGAGCCGACGGCGGCCGGCGCGAGCCGGCCGCCGGCTCCCAGCGAGCCCATGGTCACGCAAACCGGTCCTGACCAGACCCCTGCCGCTTCTGGCCAGGGCCCTGGCGCTCCTGAGTCATTAGACCGCGGCCCGCAGGTCGGTAAAAATCCGCACAATGGAGTGGCCGGTGCGGCCGCCGCGCCGGGCGGCATCACGCCGGATTCTGCAGAGCAGACTCGGCCGGGCGAGGGAGGAGCGGCCGGTGCGGGCGGGGCGGCTTGCAGAGGTGACCGACCCGAGGGCGCCAGTGCCGCACCTGGCCGGGCCGCCTCTCCCCGTGCCGCGGCGGCGACGCCCGCCGGTGACTCGCCGGGCGTGAACCCGCAGCCGGACAGTGCCGGCGAGCCGATCGTGGCCGACAGTCGGCCGGAAAACGGCGTCGAGCCCGCGCGCACGTCGGCAGCCCGCGACGCGACCGAGGCCAGCACCGGCGGCGGCGCCGCGGGCGGTGCCGGCGGCGGCGGTGGGCGGCCGGCGGCCGAGGCGGACGCGGCGGCTCGCGGCTTTGTCAGTGTGGTGGCCGTGGGTGCGGCCGGCAGTACGGTGGTGCACACGGCCGGCGCCGCTCCCGTCACTGTCACCACGGCAGCGGACGGAGAGCGGCCGGCAGCGGCCAGCGTGGCCAGCGTGGAGGTGACAGACGCGGCGGGCGATGGCGGGGGCGGCACGGAGCCGCCGCCGCCGCCCCGTGAGCAGGAGGTGGACCTGGTGGCGCCCAGCTCGGAGGAGGTCGAAGTGGTCACCGATGAGAAGACCAACTCAGTGCTGGTGGCCAGCGGGGCCGGAGACGACGCCGACCGGCTGTGTGAGGCTGTGGAGAGTGCAGTGCAGACGCGAGATGAGGTGATACACATGAAGGTGGGCAGTGGGGCGCCGCCGGAGTCCACCTCGCGGCTGGCGGACTACTTCGCTGGCTTGGAGACGCCAGTGCCGGCCGGAGAGCGCCGCTCGCGCACGCCGGAGGTGCGACATCGCTCCTCTCCAGAAACAGCCGCCAGTGTGGACGCCAAGGACGACTTCGATGACGGGTTTGACTTCGGCGGTGGAGAAGGCGAGGAGTATCCGTCCATCGGCTACGACCACTTCGACTCGGACGAGCGCTATTCCGTGGAGGAGCACGAGTCGCTCAGCGACGCGTCTCAGGAGGAACAGTACACCGAGGAGGACCTCCGCGGCTTCGGCCAGCCCCTGGATTTCACCCTTAGCACCATCCTCGAGGAAAGCTGCGAGGAGAGTGACATGGACGAGAAGGAAGCTCGTGCCGCCGCTGCTGCCGAGAACGTGGCTTCCGCAGACCCGTCCGAGCTTGAGAAATATTTCTTCTTTGAGCTGGGAGCCGGTGAGCTGGAGCCCCCACGCATCGGCAACGAGGAGAGTGAGTGCAGCACTGAGTTCTTGGGGACGGAGAGCGACATGTCCCTTTCCATGTCGTCGCAGTTCAGTGAGATCACGACTGACACTGACAGCACCGAGGTCGACCCGGTGGAGAAGGCCGCTGCCCGTTACCAGGGCCATGGCAACCCGCTGTTCCGTAACGAGTCGCTGCGCTCAGTGGACTCTGAGGTACAAACGGACGGCAGTGGCAGCGTTGGCAGTGACTCGGAGGGTCAGCCGTCACCGGAGCAGCGGCGGAAGAAGGTGCCACGGGCTCGGTTCCGAGCGCAGTCTGGCGACCTGGTAGGCAGCGGGGGCGAGGCGTCCGGCCGTGAGATCTCGGACAAGAGTGACGGCACGTCCAGTGACGAGGACCTTCCCCAAGACCCCAGTGATGAGACTGCGTTTGAGAAGAGCGATGGTCAGTTCGACACGATCAAGCGTCGGAAGAAAAAGAAGGCGCCATCGGCAGCGGCGATAGCTGCAGCTGCTGCTGCGGCAGTGAAGGACCGTGACACAGTGTCCGAGAAAACACGCACAGCTTCGGGGGAGCTACCGACCCACCCACGCCTTCAGACAGTCGCCGTCGCCGCTGACGCAACCTCTGGGGGTGTTGCACGTGACTCCATCTTACCTCAGCTTGAGAAGACGGGCGAAGCGCGTCAGAGTCGCGACAGCGGATTCCTGGGCAGCTCGGATGACCTGCTGAAGGAGTCGCCGGCCGCGCGAGAAGGCACCGAAATCCATCAGGAGACAGCTGCAAGCCGCCCTGTCCCCGACTCTTCTGATGAGGAGGCACTGCAATCCAGCTCCACCACAGTCTCACAGCGCAGCACATCAGGAGAGGAGGGGGCAACTGGGGGCCGCCGCTCGGCGACACCCAAAGCCGGGCCCTCACGCGACCGACTAACAGCCTCTCCGGCAGCCGGCTCGCCCGGACGCTCCCCAGCCTCCAAAACGCGCAACAAAGTGATACGCAAGGACTCGTTCAACAACTGGAGTTCGGACGAGGAGACTAATATCCTGATGGGCAGACTACGACAGTTCTTCCGCGCCAACATCCTGACTCCGAGACCGGCAGCGCCCAGCGCCACCCCGGCGGCCAAGCCGGTGCAGCTGCTCTCGTTCGAGAACGAGCTGACGCGAATGATGAAGAGCGTCCCCGGAATCAACGAGGCGCAGGTGCGGGAGATTGTTGAATACCTCAGCAGCGAGGATACGTGGAGTGATTCTTACGACAGCTCTGACTATACGAGCAGCGACTTTGAGGGCGCTTACGGCACCTTCAACCCCGGCCAGCCGGACTTTATATCTCAAATCCAGCAGCAGTTTTCACATCAGATGACGCACAAGTACAGCCCGGCGCCGCCTCCACCGCCGACGGTGCCGTCGGTGGGCGCGAAGGCCAACCCTGCCGACGCTGTGGCTATGTACGACCAGATGCTGGGCAGTCTGCGGGGACTCTCACAGGAGGCAGCCCCACCCCCGCCGCAACCTCCGCAGCCGCCAGTGCCCGCCTCGCCGCCGATGCTGGCCAAGGTGATGCAGCATGTCGGCGACCGACTGGTAGCCCTCATGCATGAGGTCTCGAGCGGTGGCGACTCTACCTCCCTCAGCGATCACTCGCCGAACCTGAGTGCGCGTCTGCCGCGCTCACGCGACTTCTTCTCTGAGTCTCCGTATACGTCTAGTCCCAAGGTGCGCCGTCCGACGGCGGTGGCGGCGGCCGTCTCTAATCCTGACCTGACTCCGGGTCACTCCCCGGGCGCGCCCCGCTCCAGCTACCACCTGCTCAAGACGGCGCCTCCGGCTGCCTCGGACGACAACATCCTGGCCTCGCTGGAGACGGCCTCCTCACCAACTGGGCCTCGGAAGTCAGTCGGCTCAGCGGGCAGCACCGGGTCCATCGACTTCAACCGCATCCTGCGAGACAGCAAGCGCAAGAAGAAGAAGGAGTTTGACTCTTGTCACAACCTGGTGGAAGGTCGCAGCGAGAAGGACGTCGAGGAGGGCGAGCCGACGCTGGGCCGTGCCGAGGACAAGTGGACGCGTCTCAGCGGAAGGGTGAAGTCAGAAGGTGACGTAAGCGTCAAGTCGTGCGGCACGGGCAGCACCCTGACCATCGGCCGGCCACGCAGCTCCGAGTTCTCCTCCTCCGAGCAGGTGGACTCAGACTCGACCCTGCGAGCAGCGGACAGCTACGAGAAACACCTGGGCCAGCGGACCACCCCGCGCTGGTTCAGCAGCCGCTCTAGTCTGGGAAGCAAGAACTCGCTCAATACCTCCCTCAGCAGTGAGACCATCACGGCTCGCCCTGAGGCGTCCGATAGTGAGCCTGAGGACAAGAAGTCGCGCCGTTTCTTGTTCAACTACAAGCGGCGCAGCAGTGTGCCGGACACGAGTGCCGCGGAGCCGGGTGAGGCGGAGCGTTCGACCACGCTGCCGCGTTCTACCACAGTCAGCGGCAGCACGGACGCGCTGCCGGCGCAGAGCTCGCTCTCGCTGCCGCGCAGCCGTGTCACGTCGCCCCACAAGGCGGTCCACCTGGGCGTGTCCAGCCTGGCGGCCGACTCTGTGCGTTCGGCGCGCTACCGAGCGCCCGGATACCGCCAGGTGGGACCGACGTCACGGAGGGCGCTACTCGGCGCCCGGAGGTCGTCCTGGTCACACAAAGGTCAGTCCCTCCGCCGACTCTGGCGCTGCCTCCCCCCCTCCGTCCCCCTCAGTCCGTCACGGCGTGTCGCGCGGCGTCACGTCACGCCACGCAGCGTCATGTCACGCCGCGTGGTGCTGCACGTGACGCTGTCCGACCAGCCGCCGCTGGGAGGGCGAGTCTGTCGCACGTAGCCTGCCAACCATGCCCTGTGCTGTGTGCTGTGTGTTATGTGCTGTGCCCACTCTCTCGTGCCGCTTTTTCCTATAGTGCTCTTTGTGTGATGCTTGGCCTGTCTTTGTCCCGCATTTAGGTACTGATGATTTCAGATTGCAGTGTGACTACGAAGTATTCGAAGCATGCTGTTTACAGTTCAAAACAATGTTGAATTGTGGTTGCTTTAGAAGGCCTTGGATATTTCACCCATCTAAAGAAGAAATTATCATTTTGTGTATTGACGTCTCTTACATAGCTATGCTGCTATGTATTAGCAGCATACGATGTATTAGCTATGTATTAGCAGAGAAGTTGTTAAATGGTACAAACTTTCCGAATTGTTATCGAAGCTGAAACGATTCAAAGACGTGGAATGCACGCAAACGCTGCTAGTTGTCCCCAGGCGCCGATGTTGCGACGATTGCTGGTAATTATGGTAACCGTTGCGATGACAACAGCGTTACGTTAAAGTTTCGTCACCAGACACGACAGCGCATTTAATACAGATACAGATACAGATAATATATTCATGACAAATCCATGGTGCATGGTTTTTCATTGGCACACGTCAAACATTTACAACACAAGTAAAAGACCAGGCATAAAAAGCAGCACTCAACCACTCGACCTGAGCTAACCATGCGCCTCACACTGTTCTTTCAATAGATGCTTTTTGAGCTGGCGCCGAAAGTTTCGCACGGTGACGTCAAACGGCAGAGAGTCGTACTCACGCACTGCGCTATAACAGAGCCGCCGGCGACCGGCTTCCGTGCGGATTCTCGGCATCGCGTGGTCGGCAGCTCTGCGCGTCTCGTACGAGTGACGCAGGGTGTCACCGATGGTTTGTGCGATCGCTTCCGGCTTTCCAGTCGTAGTGACCCTGTGCACCAAACTGACAAACTGATGCGATGGTACTTAGCAAGGTTAGGGGCATTCAACCACTCCAAGTCGCACAGAACGTCACTGATGTGGTCGTATTTACGACGGCCGCTAATAACTCGAGCACCGAAGTTCAGCAGTTTCTGCACACGATGAATCTGAGTAGCGGTGCACGTACCGTATAGCGAGAAGCAATATCTGATAACGGAGTTCACGAGCGCTTCTACTACCACAGGCAGAGAGGCCTTCGGTATAACGTGCTTGGCGTGCATCAGACCGATTAGGACACCAGTACACTTAGCTGTCACATAATCGATGTGCGACCTGAAGCTGAGATGATTGTCCATGACCACTCCGAGATTTTTGACAACTCTAGAGTCCGGAATAACAGCACCCATGGCAGTCAGTGTGACAGGCGGCAGTCCTCGCAGCATAGCGGGGGTTCCTAGTACAAGGACCTGCGTCTTAGCGGTGTTTAGCTTCATAGTGTTTGCGTAGAACCACTGGAAGAGACACTCTAGCGCCTGCTCCATGCGTTGGATGACCTGTGCCAAGTCACGCTTTTTACCGCTCACAAGAAGTTGAGTATCGTCTGCAAATTGCACGATTGTGACACCGTCAGGCAGGTACAGACACATTTCGTTTGCAAACACCGAATACAACATACAACTTAACGATCCGCCTTGGAACACGCCAATTGTGTTTGACTTGACACTCGACCGCACGTATCCACCGTCACCACTGGCCATCTGCACCTGCTGAGTGTGTCCGCTTAGGTAGTTGCCGAACCACTCGGTATCTACCCCATACAGTGCGAGCTTATCCAGCAGTCTCCCGTGCGGCACAACGTCAAAACATTTGGAGAGGTCCAACAGCACCAGGATCGACACCTCTCCAGCGTCCATCGCCTCCAGCGCACGGTCGGTGATGACGCTGAGTGCCGTCTCGGTGCTGCGGCCGCTGCGGTAGCCATGTTGGGTGGTTGACAGGAGCTGGTTGGCCTCCAAGTACTGCACCAGCTGGCGCTGGACGACCCGCTCAACAACCTTCATTATCGCCGGCAGGATGGAGATCGGGCGAGTGTTTGCTGGCTCCGATGGTCCTTGTCCTTTTGGGATTGGCGTTACCATTGCATGTTTCCAGGGGCCGGGCACGTTGCTGGTCGTCAGGCTGGAGTTGACTATGTCCAACAGGACGTGACCCATGCCCCAAAAGAAGGTGCGGAACATGCTGACGCTGATCCCGTCGTTGCCTGTTGAAGTTGACGGCTTCATGTGTAGCAGGAGCAGGCCGAGCGTGTCCATGTCGATCGGTTGCGGTCTGAACCGGCTCGTCGTGACACGCGGCAGTCTGACCGGCACTGGTACCGTGGGCGGTACCAGTGCCGGTCACCAAAACCATGCACCATGGATTTGTCATGAATATATTATCTGTATCTGTAATGAGCCCATTGTCTCCACTGGGCGCTATTCTGCTGTCTGCCTGAAACTCCTACTTTTGTTTTGTTAATCGTACAGCAGTATGACACCTGGCTAGATGACCACAGTTCCGAACGGTCTCATGCTTCTGTACATACTGTACGCATTGTGAGATCCACTCCAGTGTAAGACAGTTTGCATATGGGAAGGGTTTGGCATTCCTACATGTTTTTGGTTATGAGCTTCAGAGACAAGATGTACCCAAGTTTTGTGTTTAATAAGTATATCGTTACGATTGCCCAGGCGGTGTTGAAGGCTTCTATAGCGATAATGGTTGCATCACAGCCGTGCGGCTGAACATGATGTGTACCGAAGCATAAGGTACAATACGAGCTAAATCGTCCATCCATAAACAACATGGGACAGGCGTATATGCCAGTTTTCCTATCACTAGGCGCCACCTTTATGGCTGTCTAGTTTCCTCACATGAAGGATTTTCCTTAGCAGAGGATTACGAACACTCAACTTATTCCTCTCTGCAAGGGGGTACAAGGGTGTACAAACGCTGCCTGCCACTTCCGAGTTGGTCGCCGCCACCGCTCTTTTGTCTGTGCTCGTTGATGGCGTCAGGCTGGGCGGCCTCGACAATGACCTGGCAGTTGTATCCCGCGCCGCTGTCCCGGCACCGCCTGGGAGTGGCGGTAGGCACCCAGGAACGTGGGAACAGCACTCAGGGAAGTGTTGTGTGCGATTTCACGGCCAGACCGCCGACCGCTGGGCATGTCGTGACGCCTGCGTGTCCCGGCAATCACCGGCAATGGGGCGCTCTAGCTGACGTCACAGGAACTGCGGCGAGGAATAAGCCAGTCCTGACTTCGCATGGTGTCGTGCCTTTGAAATCGTCGCTTTGCGCTTCTGTAATCGCTTTGACGAAGCTCCGGAGACAGCTAAGTTGTTGGAACTTGCAATAAGTGGGTGAATAGTTTTGCTTGGTCGTCTCGTAATGGATGTGTTGTCACGATTTATGTTGAATTTTCCGTGCAGACAACCTAAATCGAGATCAAACAAGATAACAGTTTTCCTTACTGAACGAGACTGGTACGTCTTGAAATGGTTCTGGATAATGAGATGACTATATATATGTTCGTTCTTTCTGGATCAGATCCGGGATAGTACTTTCACTCGTAAAGGATTAAATGCATCTCAGAGAAGAAGGATAAATGTTGTCGATAAATTTGTTTTGCCGAACCTAAATAAAAAACAAAGTGAGAGGTTGATGTAATCTGACAGGTTTCAATGCTGTAATGTGATAATGAGGCCCAAATCGTTGGATCGATGAGCCATGGTTAACCCGTTTCACTATGGCCGCTTTACGGAGGGCGTATTGGCACAATGCAGTCGTATCGCGAGCAATTGCATGGTGAACTTCCTCAATAAAATGTTTATAGCGAGAGTAGGGCTTTTCACTTGATTAAAACAAGGTTCTATGAACCTAACGGCCCAGCAGTTTGTCGATTTAAGCTCATTGTTACAGTATAACATTCAAGGAAGTGATACTGTAAAACAACCACGTCGTTTGATTGAATACAAGTAAAATGGTTTAGTTGGTCACAGTTCGTTCGCCCTTTTGACATTTAACTCTTATGTTTTCATATTGCACAGTATCATCCCGTACCGTATAGACAGTGCTTACAACTGCTTCAGGTGCAAAGAGAGAAAATTATCAGATATGTCGTTTAACTGATTAAATGTCTAGACCAGTAAAAAACTGTTAAACGTCAAGTAGACATTTCGTCTAGTCTGAACTATGCCGTATTTTTATATAAGATGTATTTTTTAACTTTAAGCGCCCGAAACATATCGGCGGTACGGGATATTTTTTTTTTAACCGCTCGTAGGTAGAAAAATCTTAAAAACGTCGAGCCGATAGGCGAGACGTTTAAAAGATTTGTTCTACCTACTCGCGGTTTAATATATATTCAGTATAACATATTAATTATGTGAAAGCATAGACCTCATATATGCCGGTGCACAGAGGTCTATGGTGAAACGTTCATATCTACTCCGTCTGTCTGACATCCTATGTCGTGATTTTATTTTGTTTATTTTTTGCTTATCTTAAATGCAGGGCGGTGTTGCAATATTAGCGACTGCTGCTGTAAAAATATCTATGCCGATTATTATGAATAGTCAATGATAATTGTCGCAACTAACCATTTTTTTCTGGCATCTGGGTAGCTGCCTAGAAGCGTCCCATTCTTTTCATGTAGGTATAGCGATGCCTGCTGATATGTTTTTACTTTTTTCAGTGAATAAAAACGCGCACTGAGCCATATTTTCATTTACCTAAAGCAATTCAGAACTGGTGGGTATCTCTTGTAGGTAATTCTCAGACTAAAGAAGGAAAATATGGCGGGACTGTTACCTGTTCCAGTTATTCGTGGTTATGTTACGAGACATCAACATTTGTCCCTAATTGTTCCGTTGCCGCAATTACCACAATCATAA